ACTTTTATTGTCCCTGTCTCCTTTTGGTAAGCTGACACCGGATATCGTATGGATGAAAGGAAGGTTCATTGTGACCATACTTCGAGATGGAGAGAAAGTTACTAGTAAAAGAGAGAGAGAGAGAGATCTGTTAACTTATCAAATTTCATGATTGAACATATACTCCCGCCTCGAACTCGTAAGTTTCAACAAAAAAGAAAACTGAGATTAAACATACAGAATACAAAGTAGTAAGACACGTAAAAGGAAATATTAAATATTCACACCCAATAATGTTTCAAAAAATATATGAAATTCTTTCTATCAAAAATATATATTAATCAAATTCGATCCAAAATGCCGCCCTTACAATTTGCCGCCTCGGGCAGGGGTCCAGTTTGTCCTGTCCTAGAGTCGCTCCTGCACTGATTCTATGTGTGAAATCTTGGTTACACGGGATACATCAAAACAATATAGTAATACCCCGAACTTACACGATAGGTGGGACTGAGTGATAAATGCGTAAGTCGAATTCGCTCAAGTCAGGGGATGATTTCTCACATAAATACGCATAAATTATTTTTTGCTGGGACCGCAGATGAAAGAAAATAATAATTAAGAAAAAAATGTTCATAAAATCTTAGATAACACAAATACAAAATCGCAAACTGTAGTTATTTTGATTTAGGAGGTTACATAAAATTTAACAATGTGGTCTACTAGCTTAAGAGGACACAGTACGATTCAATTGACCAAAATCGGTCAAAAAATCAAATTTAATTTTTTAAGCCTAAGTTATTCTTTATATACTTTTCTATAACCTCACAAAATTTGAAAGCTCTAAACTTTAAAAACGCAGAATTATGATAGCTGTCACACGTTCGTTTTTATTCACATCTCTATGGCAATCAAAATTTTAAACTGACTTATCTCAGAAAGATAAAATAACGAGTTTGTCTTCATTTAAAATGCTAAGACCTTTTTTCTACTGCGCCTAATGTTTTGAAATTTTTTTTACCTATTGCTAATAGCATATCTAACAAAAGTTAGTATGCATTTTTGAATAAAAGCAATATTTATTTTTTTTTAAATAATTGAACTCAGAATTTATACATTTTTAAGGAATTTTCAATAAACATTCATAAAAAGAAATATTGCATAAATACCAATGACGTTAATGCAAAACCCATACCACCTTTTATTATACATAGTTTGAAGTACTTGTAAATCAATCAAATTTCATACATGTACGTAAATTTTTGTAAGAGAAGAGTAACATTTTAAAATCACTTCACAAATTTTAAGTTTTTTCCTTAAAAAATTACATGTATAGCTTTTTATGAAATTTTAAGCACAAAATCTGTTTAATATAGTACACTGGTGTGCAAAAATTAAGGACGAGACGGTTTTTTCAATATAACTTTGTACAAAAGCTTTCCAAATCAACACATTTAATACCGTAAGATCCCTAATACGTAAGGACATGTGTAATATGTAAGCAACACTTACTAAAAGAGAAATCAGAGGGATAAAAAGAAGCGTGATTGAAAAAGTAGCATGGAGCGCAATGCGACTGAAGGCCGAAACATCCCTGTGATGGGTGTCCAGCAAGAAACATCCGGTCTTTAGTAGGGGATATGATCTCCCCTGACTGCTAGGCAGGTTTCGCAGCGTCTGCCCATGCTGAGAATGAGGGTGTCAATCAGTTGTTGAGGCATTGCTGCCCATTCGTCTTGCAGCTCCAATCGAAGCTCCCGAATCGTTACTGGTGGTAAGGTGCGAGCTGCCAAGCGTCTGCCTGGAAAATCCCATACATGCTCGATGGGATTGAGATCCGGAGATCGTGCCGGCCAATCTATACGTTCAATATCCTCACTCTCTAAGAGCTGTTCGGCAGCTACTGTGCGATGACATGGTGAATTGTCGTCCATGAAAAGGAACTGCAGACCCATAGCGCCTCTAAAATGACGCACATATGGAAGAAGAATCTCGTTACAATAACGGGTCCCGTTGACTGAACCTGCGTCGAAGATGTGAAGGTCTGTACGACTACCAAGCATGCATCCCCAAACGAGAACACCGCGACCTCCATACCTGTCTCTTTCAATGATGTTCGAGGGATGATTTCGGCTTCCCCGCTCTCTCCAGATGAGTATGCGATGAGAATTGCTACTCAAACTGAATCTGCTCTCATCTGTAAAGAGTACTCGTCCCCATTCATTGTCTCTCCAATTCCGGCGTTCCCGGCACCACAGAGAACGCCTTCTCCGATGGGCAGGCGTTAAAGATACACACCGTACAGGGCGTCGTGCAAACAGACCACCACCGTGCAGTCTTCTGGCCACGGTAAAACGCGATATCGGTCGTCCAGTCGCCTGTGTCGTGTGTCTAGCGATTTCTCCCGCTGTCTGCCGCCTGTTTCTTCTGGCCTGTAAGACAATGTACTGGTCATCTGCGGGTGTGGTTCCTCGTGACGACCACTACTGAACCCCCGGATAGCTGTTCCTGTAGTTTGAAATTGTCTCCAAAGTCGTGAAACGATGTTTTGAGCAATTCCGAACTCTGCAGCCACACTTGTCACACTGCGGCCTTCCTCCAACTTCCCAATGATTCGACCTCGGGTAAAAGCATCCAGATGTCGTCTAACAGATTGATTATTCGCCTTTTCTCGCTGAGGCAGCAACTCGGTGTGATTTTAACTGCTATACGGCGTGCAATCTCTTTGCCATTAATACTGATCTTACACCGACAACATGCTTTATACTACTCAGACACTCCCCCATTACGTCTACCTGCATATCTGTGCATGTGCTACCGTACATCACCTTACTTAATCTCCTGATTGGTCTTTCTGTCCGCTCTGCCTCTTCGTTCAGCTTTTACGACTTCGTCCTTAATTTTTGCACACCAGTGTATACATACATAAGAGGCAACCAAAAAATTTTAAAAAATTTTTAAATAAAAATTTTTTGTATAAATCGTACCATGTCCCTTTGAAAAATTTTTCCCTCAAAATTTCCTCGTAGCATGATAATTTTTTTTTTTTTTATTTTTTGTTTTGTTGAAAAAACACGCTCTTCGTTGGCGTCTGCATTTTCTAAAATTTGAAATCTTTTTTTAATTAAACTGAGGGTGACTGTCAAATTTCCAACCGTCTTTCGATCTTCTGATTGAACTGGGTCTAAAGACTCAAGTTCTTCAATGCCTTGCTGTTGCTTATACATTTCTATGAGCTTATCAATTACCAGCTCATGATTATGAGAACTCAGTTATTCTTGAACGTCATCATTATCCACTTCTAAATTTATTTGCCTACCAAGATTGACATCTTCAATCACATTACCAATTTCATCAGGTTCTGGCAATGATTTTAATTAAGTTTCTGTAATTAAAATAAATTATTATTTTTTTAAAAAAAACCCAAAACACGTTTTTATGGTTAATCGAACTAAAAAGTAAAAAAATAACTATTAATATAAGAATAAATTGATTTACGAGAAATTAATGTCATTGTGGTAAAAGCGTGGGGCGTATATCAATTATTATAAATTCTTACTAGTTATATTCCGAAATGCTGAGTTAGTGTAAAAATGTAGTACAAAGCACCCAACGCTTTTACCACAATGACATTAATTTTCTCGTATAAATCATTTTATTCTTATATTAAGAATTTTTTTTCTCTTCAATTGGATTAACCATAAAAGCGTGTTTTTTAGTTTTTTTAAACTAAATTTATTTTTCATTTTTTAGTTCGATCTACAGTAAAAAAAAGAGAGTTTTTTTATATTATCACTTATTCATATACTTTTTTTAAAATTTTTGGCCTGCGATGGAAAATGTTCGCCCATTCCTGAGTTAGAAGAATTTTTTTTTTATTTTACGTGGACGAGTCTTTTTTTTTTCATTTACATTTTTCAGAAACTCTGGACAATTGTTTATATTATGATAAGAAATTGCTGATGCAAAAAAAAAAAAGGTTTTCGCTTTTAGGGGAACTCTAAATCTTTTAGTCGCCAAATCTGGAAATGGTATAATGAATTAGTCGCTACATCTGGAAATCGTTATTCTTGATTATTCTGATCAGGACAATGGAGCAGAATTATAAAATTTTTGTATTGTCATTGGTTCTTAACAAGTGGGCAGAATTTCGAAGGAATCTGACATTTTAAAGTGGGTAAAAATCGAGTACAAAGATTCCTTTACATACTTATTTTACTTCAGTTCCTGATACACTCTATTAAACATTGATGCTAACACATGTTATCTTTTCCATGTTATCTGTATTATCCGAAAACTTGGTCTTTTACATAAGACCAAGTTTTCTTACCCACTTTGCCACGTGATATAGCAGAACTGCATGAAAGGATAATAACGTTGAAAGTACCATGTTTAGCAGAGTATGGCATGAACAGGACAAAACATTTATGTATGCCATGTAATCAAGGTTTTATGCACAGAATACCTGTCAAGTATGTAAATGAACCTTGAACTTTTTATATATTTTTCAAATGTTCTTTTTTGCTGTATTCGTCTTGGTTTTCTTCAATTCTTAATTCTTCATTCTCTACTTTAGTTTGCTAATACTCCTATATATATATATATATATATATATATATATATATATATATATATATATATATATATATATATATATATATATATATATATATATATATTTATATATATATATATATATATATTTATATTTATATATATATATATATATATATTATTTATATTTATATATATATATATATATATATATATTTATATTATATATATATATATATATATATATATATATATATATATCTTGTTCAAATTTTCAGCCGTTAATAAAATACTTTCTATTCATCCGTTCAAGTTCAAACACATTTTTTAAGCTTGTAGTGGACGACACTTGATGTTAATACAGTTTTTCCAAATATTGATTCATTAGTTAAACTTAATTAATGCATAAATAGTGACAAATAAAAAATAATAGTTCAACACCATGTATAAAAAGGAAAATCGCTCGTTGTGTTCCTGTAGCGCAATAGATAGCACGCGTTGGACTTCTAATTCAAAGGTCGTGGGTTGGAATCCTACCTGGGATGGCCTAATTTCTGAGAATGTGATTTATGAATGAATAAATAGTAACAAACAAAAATACTCTCATGGACAAAAAAAAAATTAGCGCCCAAGAAGGAGTCGTCAAAATGAAAGAAGATTTTACATGATATAAGTAAGTCTACTTTGATATATGTAAATGATTAGAAAATCAAAGAAAAAGGATCATTTATTTCAGAGAAAAAGGCAAAAGAATGGAAGATTTTATGCCCTGTCGAACCCCTTCTAGCGCGGATGCACGATGCGATACGATCGGGCATTGAGGCATACAAGCTGTGTGTGATGTCTTGAGACATTTTGTTCCATATTTGCTGTAACCTTGCCTCTAGTTCGTTCAAACTCGTGGGATGCCCAACTTGCAGTCCCAAATTATCCTAGATACGCTCGATTGGAGACAAATCTGAAGATGGGGCAGGCCAAGGAAGGATAGAAACAGTGCGGAGACACTTGCGACATCATTGTCGTGTGAGGCCGAGCATTGTCTTGTTGAAAAATGGCTCCTGAAAAGCCGTTGCATAAGTGTCAACACATGTGGTTACAGGATGTCATAGACATGCCACTGGGCTGTCATGGTGCCACGGATTAATACTATGGTGTATTGTAGTCAATGACACCCCATACCATCACAACAGCTATGGGAGCGGTGTGTCACTGTAAAGCAAAGGCAGGATTAAGGCGTTTACCACGGGGTTTCCATGCACGAACACGATTGTCATCACTGCTGAGATTGAATCTGGATTCGTCGCTAAAGACGACCTGGTTAAATTCCGCTGCAGTTCAGTTTCCTCGTGTGCGGCACCACTCCAAACGGAGGCGTCGATGGGAGGACGTCAAGGGCAGCACACGTAATGGGCGCCGCGATCCCAAATGTCTTTCAGCCAGGCGCCTTCGTATGGTTCGAGAAGACACAGGGGGCCTATTGAAGGTTCTACCTGTGCCTGGATGGCGGTCGATGAAGCAGTTGGCTGTACGCGTGCATTTCTTATGATGTGGTGGTCTTCTCGACTACTGGTCTGTCGAGGGCATCCTGAGCCTGGTATTCGTGTAAATGACATCTCTCGAATCCACTGGTCCCAACACCTCCTCACAACACAATCAAAGTGACCTAATTGACGAGCTACTCGCGTAGCTGACCACCCAGCTTCCATCATGCCTATGATTTCCCCCTCTCAAACTGCGACAGCTGCTCATATTGTCTTCGAAAACTGCGTAATGGCATGTCTACCTCAGCTCTTCCTTTACAAACGATTCAGAACACTCAAACAATCTGCGGGAATTTATTCGGGCACCTGGGTTCGAAGAACTCTTAATCCCGTATCTGGCAAAAGTCTCTTTAATGACATGGCTGATCGTTGAGTTTTCATGTTTGGTAGTAGATCATTGCAATTGGACGAGCGGCGGCAGGCCAGTAGGCGGAGCTTTGAGGCACGGATCTTGACATCTCGGAAAGTTTTCAGTGAGGAATCTGTGTGGAAGAGCGAGTCTTACTATTAGCTGTTGAAAAGTGAGGATAATGGCTCAGGAGAAATGGCTGCCCATGTGGGGGGTGTGAGTGTGAGTGGTGTAGTGACGGCGAAAATTTATGAGGTAGAAAAGGAAACAGCCGGGTGGTTTGCGAGGCGGTCACCCTCCCTCGCATTGACCGTTCCCGGTGTTGCGAACACTCAAACAACGGATGAACGGATGATTTTATCAAAAGGTGTCTAGGCTGCGCCAGCAGCCTTCAAACCTCTATCTGGAACTCTGATGTTCGTGGTGTTAGAAGCTTGGGTTTGAAGAGGAGGGCGTGACTTCAGGAGAGGAGGTCCAATGGGAGAGCAGGAGACATCGGCTTTGGAAGTGATCGTTGATTGGAGGATGGTAGTGAGCTTTTAAGAGTGAAATCATGGACCTGGGATAGAAGTTTACTTTTAAAAATAAAAAAAAGAAATAACACTCAAACAAGCCTTGGTTACCTGTTTTATACTCCACGGAGAACGACGTTAAACGCCCTCTACCGGCTATACGTAATGCGCAATCACGCTGCATTTCTAATCATTTGCATATCTCCCCGACATGTATCTTCATGCCAAGTTTCGTTATGATGCCGCAATTATTTCTGGATGCGCTAAATTTTGTCCATGAGTGTAATAGTGCAGCACCATATATAGAAAGGAAAATTGTTTTCTATTTTGCCACTTAATATTGTGATTCTAGCATACGTATATACATATATATACTAATTGTAATTATTTAATAAAAAGTAACTAAAATAAAAAATTTCTTTGTTGACCTAAGTAGGAATTGACTTTAATTTTTTTTATACTACTTGTTATTATAGCACTTCAAAACCATAAAGGGTATTATGAATAACTCCGTACATACAGAAAATAATATTACTTAGTTTAATATCACAAAAATCCTGCAAATAAACTATCAGTGATCATTGTTACTCTGAAGCTAGGCGACAAATTCGACACTTAAAATTGATCCCGTCTTTTGAAATATATATATGACACCCCCTACACACAGGGAAGTCTTTGAAAAAAAGATAGCATTGAAAATGTCACTTACTTTCAAAAGTCACATTCTAATTATAATGCTAAAAATTTCTAAAAAGAATTAAATCTTAATGTTGGAGAAAAGGCATATTTGATGACATAAAAAAATAAAGCTCGCGCGAACCCCAAATTAATTTTTTAAATTAATATTTTTCTCCTTTTTTTTGTAGAAAGCACTTCTTAGAGGCCTAGTTTTGCCTGACTATAAAACACTCTTAATACAACCATCACGAACATTGTGTTGAGATATAGACAACATTTGAAATAAGAACTGGTTTTTTCACCAACGTGAAGACAGAATTATTGTAGATAATGCGATGAGCTTTGGTTTTTACCAGGCCAGAGTTATTTATTCTAACAACCAGGTTATGGTGTCTTCTCCCCCCTCCCCTTCTTTTTTCGCTATAATTGTGATATATTATTTCCGAAACTCTCCAAAATAATTTTTTTATATAAATTTATATTTTTTGAAACAAAGAAAAGAAAAAAAAGTAGAATGAAACTGTAGTTTATTTATATATACAATATATATATACGATATATATATATATACAATATATATATACAATATATATATATACAATATATATATACAATATATATATATACAATATATATATACAATATATATATATACAATATATACACTCTGTCGCAAAAAAATATATGCACCCAGAAGAAATCGCTACAAATCACGAAACTCGGCAAGAATGTAGTCTGGTAAGAGATATGCAAATGATTAAAATTTCCGAAGCCAATGAGACAAGGCTATGTGCTATGCGCATATTATTTGCGCAACTGAGAGAGTTTAAAAGCATGAGTACGAGCGCCGTACGGCTATCCAAACGAATCTGATGACTTTGATAGACGATATTGAGACTTAGGATGCCTCTAAGACGTAACCGGCGGCAGTACGAGCAGCTGACGGACTTTGATAGGGGCCGTATAATAGGCCTCAGAGAAGCAGGTTGGTCGAATAGACGTATCGGCCGCCACCTCGGTCGGAGCGATATGGTAGTTGCTCGGTGTTGGCAACAGTGGATCACAGAAGGTAGAGTGTACCGTCGCGGAGGGTCAGGACGTCCCAGGAACACAAATGATCGCGAGGATCGTGCAATCAGAAGAGTGGCCACTTCGGCACCAACAACGTCGCTAGCATCGATTCAACGCCACTTACCTCCTTCCAGATATCCAGTGCCATCAAGAGAAACCATAAGGAGACGACTGACCGAAGTTGGCTTGAGGAGCCGACGTCCGCTAAGACGCTTACCACTGACCCCACATCATAGGCAGTGTCGACTGGATTTTTGCCGACCTCGGCAACTTGAGTGTGACAGACTGAGACGTGTCATCTTCAGTGATGAATCCTGATTCAGTCTCAGTGCTGATGACCACCGCACACGTGTCTGGAGGCGCACCGGCCAGCGGTCCGATCCGGCATTTATTGTCGAGCGACATACAGCAATTTCACAAGGTGTGACAGTGTGGGGAGCAATTTCTTGGGACACACGATCATCTTTAGTGCTCCTTCAAGGCACTTTGACAGCTCGCAGATACGTGGACGATATTTTAACGCCGATTGTGCTACCCATACTATCAAGTCGCCCAGGTGCCATTTATCAACAGGATAATGCTCGTCCACATACTGCGCGACTCTCCCAACAATGTCTTCAAGGATATGACGTCCTACCATGGCCTGCCAGGTCACCAGATCTTTTTCGCCAATAGAGCATGTCTGGGGAAGGCAACTGCAGCCGTCCCGAGATACAGGAGAATTAACTGCGCAGATGCAAAGACTATGGCAGGATCTTCCACAGGGGGTCATAAGTGATCTAATTGAATCGATGCCACGCCGAATTTCGGCTTGTATAGCTGCCAGAGGTGGCTTTACTACTTACTGATTTTTAACCTTTTGCAAGCTGTAACCGCTTAATAAAATGATATTTTGTTCTGAATTTTTAATCATTTGTTTATTTTCATATACACTACATGCATACCAAATTTCGTGAATGTAGCTCAATTTCTTCTGGGTGCATATATTTTTTTGCGACAGAGTGTATATACTACATATATAATTTTTTGCACATAGTTTTTTGTTACTCAAAGTAGGTCTAATCATTATTTCGGTGATTTATTTTTTAAAAAGTGTTAAATTGATTCTAATAATAAAACTGAAAGATCCTGGGTATAGCTATGTGTTCAAACTTAACGGAGTATATATTTTTGATGAAATTCTGAACAAAATATAATTTTTTTTTTCAGTTTTACCTTCACATTTTCAGGAGGGGGGGGGAGCATTTTCTCAAAACTCAAAACTTTAACTGTTTAAATCTGCCTGGAAATTTAAGATCGTCCAAATTTTTTAAGGTAAAAGAAAAATCCTAAAAAGTTATTTTACTTTATCATTTAGTTTTCATATTTAAGCTTACACTTGTTTTTAATTTCCT